GCATGAGAGGCGTTGATCAGAAGTGGGTATGATCAGAGTTAGTTGTAGTTGTATTATTATTATGGTAAGAACAGATAAATATCTGTTTCCTCTATTTTATCTGATTAGCAATTTCAAAGTGTTTCAGTAAGATTTAAGAAATTATGACAGATAAATATTAAAAAAAACCAGCTACAGTCTTTCAAATATGTCTTGGTTTATGTTTTCAAATACAACCAACAATATATAAGCTAGAGGAATGTATTAGAAAATGTCCTTTTAGGGTATTTAAAATTTAGCATAAGTGTACTTTTAGCCTGAAACTTCAGGAAAGCTTTAAGCCATAATTCTTGTAATAAAGATTAAGGTTTTCTGAACAAAGAATAGAGGCCTTGTATTAATATAGAATTGGATCAATGTGAACTGTTTTGAGACTAGAGGACCCTAAATGTGACAATATTCAGTATTGATGCCTCAGCCTTCCTTTCAGAATTCACAGTGGACATATATTGATAGTTCTCCAAATGCAAACCTTTTTCTCTTCCGTAAAGATACAGCTTTGTAGAAGAATTGCAGAAGTCCTACAGGGAAATGATGTTCCCAAGTAGCTGTACTGCCAGGCGCTTTCCTCAGAACTGCAGCCGTACAAGGATCCTTGAAGATTTGCTGATGCTGGTTTTTATCTGCATATCCAAAGTATACTAGTATGCTAAGTCACTTAGATCAGCACTGTCACATTCCTACTAATGAACATTAACTTGCTTTTCAAAAGAAAAGTAATTGAAGCAAAAGATTATTGTTGTATTTTCCACTTATAACTAAATAGGGATAAAGGCAACCATTAATTGTCATTGCTTGAGGCCACATTTGAAACAATGTAATCAAAACAGAGGGATGCCCTAGATTCCTTCTCAGATTTCAGTACTAAGTTCCTTGGCTTAGTCGGGTGGAACAAGCACCCTAGAATGAGCTTGTCTAGTCAACACCTGTTATCTCCTCAATAAATGTCTAGAGTTCCCTTGAGCGTGATGTCCTGAGAATGGAAAGTTGCCATTACTGGCAAAGTAAGGAATATCATGCCCAGTCCAACTGACAGCCCTAAGTAGGTCAAGGATCCATTTCTAGATTGAAGCCAAAAGAAAAAAAAGAGAAAAAGGGAAAGAAAGAAAGCATCTAGATAATCACAGCTTGTTCAGACTCTGTAGCCTTTCATCATCAAAATCCAGAAAGGAAAATTGGCTGGCTAAGTGCCCTGCTCTTTGAATGAGGTAGCATTTAAACATGGACCCATCTTCTCTCCTTTTAGAAAAAGAGGGAGAAAATAGGAGAATCACAACACCAATTCCTAGCTGACTTAGTTAAATGGAATGCACAAGCAGGTGGACTTCTGTGTTTGGTAGCTACAGGTGACCTTAGGAGTATCAAGACACACAGGTAATATTGACCTGTGTGCATTCGAGATGATTTTCTTCAATAAGGAAATGGATTGGGTATACATTCATTACTAAGATAGATCTGAAGTGTCAAACATTTTGATGTAGTACAGATGTTTGGCAGTTACTTTGTTGTACAGATAATTAATAACAGTTTCGTGTAGCAAAATAAAAAGAGCTGCATATTCAACATCATTGAGCACTGAGAACTAGAAGTAAATGTACAGGGAACAATGTTCCAAAGAGACTCAATTAATTCATTGTTTGTCTTTTGCAACAGGGACCCAGACCTTAGTGGACTTCCAAATTGTGCTACAACCACTCCATGATGGAAGTACCATTCAGACCACAAAACCAAGTATGTGAACAGTAATTACTACCCACCAGAATGAAAACAAAGACCAAATTTATCAAAGTCCATGGTTCTGGGAAAGTTGTTAAATTTACTAACCTTGCCTTTTGGCTTCTGTAGCTCTGTTTCTGGCTAACTGTTCTTGATAAGTGAAGTATGTCAACCCAGGACATGGGTTTTATGCTTCAAAGCTCACCCTGAGAAAGTTTTGAGCTACACTGGGATTCCAAACACTCAGTGTAGTTGGCCAAGAGTTCAGTTAAGTTCAACAAACATTATTGTTGACGAAAACATTAAGAACCTACTGCTTATGATTGACAATTCGTCTGCTCTATGGTTTGACAGTACATTATGCACTGAAAAATATTAAGTCATTCCTTCACCTTTGCCAGAACACTGTGATTGTCAAGAGCATAAATTTGAAGATAAATTGGACTCAAGTTTTTTCCCCTTTAAAATCTGATGACTGGTCAAAATGAATGCTCCAAGAGCTTTGGTTTCCTTCTCTGTTTAATAGGGTAAATATCATTATTAAGTGCAATGCTAAAAGTAAAGAACCAAGAATGAGGCTTGGCACTTGATATGTATCCAGTTAATTTTAGATATATATTTAATCAAAATAAATTATTAAAATTAATTTGAACTTTATCCTTTTTATTTATGGCTTCCAGAAAATCCAGTTACCTATGTAATCAATGCTTTTGCATACATATGTGTATATATGTGTGTGAACTTTATAATATACATAATATATTAATAATATATTATAGTGTTAGTTGAGGTAGCGGAGATGTTTGATATGTGTCTATGTTCATATGTAAGATGTGTACTTGTGTGTGTGTGTGTGTGTGTGTGTGTGTGTGTGTGTGTGTGCTGGACATTTAGAGGTTACAGTTTTATGGCACATGTCATATCACTCATGTGGAGATCAGCAGACAAGTTAATCCGTGCTTGTCCTTTTGCTGTTATTGTTTGTGAGTGATTTTCCTGTCCCCACTTCTCTTTTCCCACAGGAATGCTGGAATTACCAATGTGTACTACAATATTCCACTTATAACCTGGAGATAGAACTTGGTTGTCAGGGTTCATTGTTGGTGTCTTTATCCACTGGACCATTTTCCTGACTTTATATTCAACTTCTCCTGAACATTACTGCTGCAGAAACATCTCAACAAGTGACATTAGTTAGCTATTTTTCTTTTAAAAGGCAGAAAAATGTAAAAATTTAAAAAACCCAGCAAAATCACACGTATCTCTCACATTCTAAACTTTCAGAAAATGGTGAGATTGCCAATCCACAGGCCTGCTGTGAAAATTAAAAAGATCAAGTGTTAGTTCCTAGAATTTCTCACTTTTCTTCACATTTAAAGAAGTATTTCTAAATACCTTTCCTGCAATTTTTACAGCTGTATTTCCTTTGGTAGGGGGCATTTCGACATCTTCAGGCCATTTTCTTTTAAATGATAGTAATTTTCACTGAGAAAATTAAGTTCACTGGAAAGGTCTAATTAGAAAATCTCCTGATTTGCAACCTTGACCTCTCATGTGCCAAGCTCATTGCAGAGGTCTTCCAACACACACCCAGTGGTACACTAGAGTAGCAGCTTTCAACTGGGAGGTTGCAATGCCTTTGGGAGTCAAATGTCCCTGTCACTAAGGTCACATAACAGATATCCTTTATCTCAGATTTTTATATTATGCTTTGTAACAAGAGCAAGATTATAGTTAGGAAGTAGCAATGAAATAATTTTCTGGTTAGGGGTCACTACAGCATGAGGAACTGTATTAAAGAGTTACAGCATTAAGAAGGTTAAGAACTATTGCAGTAGAGTTATATTAGTAAATATAAAGAACTTAATAGCTATTAGACACTTAGGAAAAGCTAAGAGGCACATTGGTTTTTTAGTTTATTTTTATTTTTTACTTTTTATTGGTTCTTTGTGAATTTCACATTATGTACCCTAATTGCACTCATCTATCCCTCCCCTCATACCTGCTCTCCATGCTTACAACCTCCCACAAAACAAAACAAAAAAAATCATGATGGAAGCTGTGGTGTGTCATAGTGTATTCCTTGGCAAACCATTTTGTCTATACTTCTTTGCTTGCAAATGTTCATTGCAAAGACTCGGTCCGTTATGAGGACTCTGACTTCTCTTACGCTATTGATACTGGTACCTCACTGGGACTCCTCTCAGTTGTCCTATTTTTCCTCTGTGTCATAGAGATCCTACAGTTTTTAGATCTGTAGGACTGGCCCCTTCAGGCATTCTAGAAATTCATCCATGGGGTAAATGTTGGGGTAGATGAATTCAAAGCCCTGGATCTGGGTCTGAGAAGTAAGTATCTGAGCTGTTCAGACCACTAGCTTTCCTACTCTTATGCCCTCTGGGTCAGTTCACCTGAAACTGCCAACACCAAGACTAGCTTGACTGCTGCCTAGTCAAGGTGCCACCAGGGAAAGTCATAGCCACCACTCCCATAGATGGCAAGCGATGAAGTGATGAAGGGAAGAATGTTTCTTTCCCTTGTCAGTGCCACTGCTGAGCAGACAAGAGGCAGGGCCAGGTCTCCCATGGTCTTGTCCTTGGGGCCAGCTCATCCCCAACGTCCAGGGCCAGCTCAACTGTGCTGCCCAGGTGAGATGCAAGGGCTGCTTTCCTGAGTGCTGCATCAGGTGAGGGGCGGGGCCAGCTCTCCTGCTCTGATAACCCCAAGACAGCTCTCCTGCCTGCCATAGGTGGTAAGGAGAGAATGGAGAAGAGGGCATCTCCCTTATCAATTCTATTGCAAGGGAGAAAAGTCGTAGGTCCAGATCTCCCACATTCATATGCTTGGGGCTGGCTCACCTATAAGGCCTGCTTTTAGGAGTGATATGCCCAACTTGCACATTATGGTGTTGTGCAGGGGTCATCTGTACCCCCAGGCCTCTGTGGTGCTCAACTGGTGGTCATTTTAGGTTAGCTCCCTGTCCAGGCCCCATGGCATTGTTCTGGTGATCATCTTGGGCTCGATCCTTCCCTGGCCCACATGAGTGTCCCCTTGGAAAATCTGAGTCTGTCTCAGGCTCAGCCCTCAGTCACAGTAGGAGTTCTTCTGGTCTCCAGCTTGCTGGATATCCTAGAAACCACTGGGGCCTTTGTGGTGGTCATCTCAGGCTAGGTCCCTGTCCCAGCCCCCTGATGCCAGACTTGTAGTCTTCCGGGGGCTTGTTTTTTGTTTTTGATTTTTCAGGAAATGTTAAGCGACTAGTCATTCAGATTCTCATGGGTAAAAGCAGGGTGTAGGCATAGCCTGTCTCCTCTGTCCCACCTACTGATGCATATGTGACACAGAAGACATACCTGTAATGCTTCTAGAGACAGGGCATGTTGCATTTTTAATGAGTCACTGTCATAAAATACAGTTTCATTTCAGTTACAGAAATCAGTTCTAGCAGGTATTCTTTAGTTGACTTGTCCCAGTTGGAATTAAACCACCTGAGAATAATAATCTACCATCTAATATCCAAGTGTCTATAACAGGACCTGACACTGAAAGAGTAATTCATTTGTTAACTGAATATTGAATTGTGTTTTGTCTTTGTTATGATGGATTTCTGTTGTACATGGCATGGTCTTGACGTGTAGCCCAGGCTGAGCTTACTTATCCTGCCTCAGGCTGTTGAGTGTTGAAATGACAGATATATGCCAACATACCAGGTTGGCTACCAAGAATATCTTTTAGGTAGGAGCTTTTCAAAAGTCTACACCTGGCAAAGTGTTTCTCTTCTTGTATCCTTATATTAAGGCCTAGGGATAATGATGTAGCTCTTACCCACTGTTCCTGCATTACGTTTGCCTGCGTCCATGTTCCCTGCTGCCATGCTCCCTGCCATGATGATAATGGACCAAATCTCTGAAACTATAAGCAAGCCAAGTTAAAAGCTTTTTTTTGTATGAGTTACCTCGGTCATGGTGTCTCTTCACAGTAATAGAACAGTGAGTGATTAAGACAGACTATATGCCACTACTGGAATGTTTCCTTAGTTTTAATGCATATGTGCATGTATTATTTCCTTTGATTGTGCATCTGGGAAGTCCCTAGCTTGTCCCGTTCCTTCACACGGTCAAGCAAATTCCATTCCTCCCTTTCCCTCCTATCCTGCTCACTCAAAAAGCCTCTGAGTAGGAAAATAAATAAATAAATAAATAAATAAATAAATAAATAAATAAATAAATAAATGGCCTGGTCTTGAATTCCTGACATTCCTGACAGCTGTCTCAATATGCTTCACCTGGTCTGAGGTCAGCAGCCAAGCAAATCCCCATAGCCTATAAAAAGCTTCCATGCCATAGTCAGCCTGTGACTTTTCCCAGTTTTGAATTCTGAGACTGAAGAACTCACCTGTGAGCCCATTCCCAAATAAACCTGCCATTTGTACATGGGGACCACTTCTCTTCTCCTATCCTTCTCTCTGCTATATACAATCAACTTTACACCCTATGAATTATCTCAAGTTTCTGCCTAATCTTACAGGTCCATGACCTTTTGAGATTTCTCTGCTGAGTCTTGGCCATGCCAGGGCTAGCCTATTCGAAAAAGGTCTTTTTTTTTTCTGGGGGAGCCTTTGATACTGAGTCATTTTATCTGAGGTTACTGCCTCCTAAAAAACTATTCAATTCTAGACTATAAACTGAGAATACACCCCCATAGTTTCAGGATTTTCTGGTAAAGGCTGGAAAAATGGGTGCTACTGGGTCTAAAATTTATCCCTAGACACCTCTTGGATGTCTGCTGTGAAAATTATCTAAATTGGGTTCATCATAGAACTTGAATTCAAAACTCCTGGTCCTACTTTGCTCTGTGGCTTGGTTCCAGTGCACTCTAGATAATGAATCTAAGTGGCCATCCGAACGCACACTAGACTTTCACATCCTCCGTGACCTTGGAATCTCTTGTCAGCATACAGGCAAGTGGACTGAGCTCTTGCCATTTCCTCTGAAATCAATGCTTGATGGACCAAGTCTTGTTGGCCAAGGTTACAGCACCCCCAAAACAATCATTAATCTGTGGACTTGGACCCCCCCCCATCCCTACCTGTTCCTTCCATCTTCTCTGGAACATAGGCCAAGGGCCAGCCTCTTTCTGGTTACCCACCTTCCTCCTCTTCTCTCTGTCTTCCCACTGTCCGCACCTCTTCTTCAGTACCATAGGCTCCATTTGATAATCATCTGTCTTCCTTTTACCCATCTCCTCCCCCTCCTCTTTGTTCCTCCCTGCCCACTCTGTACTCTTCTTCTTCTCTGATCCTATAACTCACATTCTGGTCTTTGTCCACATACTCTCCTGCCCCACCTGGATTCTCCCCTGTGGCATCTCACATTTGGTCCTGGAAGGCCCCTACTCCCTTCTGCCCACTCCAGGAGGGGGCAGGAGCTGAGGGGCTTATTCATATCCCTTTCTCCCTGTAGAACCTCTACCAGATTACAAAGAGGCTAGGTTCCTTCTCTACCAACACTTCTGCCTACATTAAAGAGTTTCAATGCCTTTGGAGCCTATGATCCAACTCTGTCATAATCTTTATGTCATAAAAGCTTCTACCTTCACTCCTGAGGAACAAAGATGGGCTCATGTAGCCACTAGGCAGTATGCAGACCAGATCCACCATGGGATCACTTGGGATGATATAGTCCCCAGGTCAAGATGGCTGCCAGAGGAGGGACTTCATTGCCCACTGCCTCCTTTAGGGTATAGAACTGGTCTCAAATATGATTGTTAACTTTGATACGTTCTGAAAATTACACAGCAAACAGACAAAATTGCAGGATTTTTTCTAAATTGATGACATGATCCAATATACTGGCAACCCAGCCTCCCCAGAGGGAGCCATGGTCCATGCTACCCATTTTATTTCTCAGTCATGGCCAGATATTCAAAAAGGTGAAAAAATGCTGAGGATGGTCCCCAAACCTCTATATAGGAGTTGGCAAAAAAAAAAGCTTTTAAAGATTTTAACACCTGAGAGGATTCTTCCCAACAGGCTCAGCTACAGCAGAAGACTATGCACTAGGCCTAAGCCTTGGCAGCTAAAGCCAAGTCATTACTGCAGAGGGAATAGGGAGGTCTTCCAGACCCCATCTTGCTGGGATCCAGCCTAAGTCAACTCTGCAGGGACCTGTTTCAAGTGAGGCCAGGAGGGATGATGGTCAAGTAATTGCCTAATCACTTGGCAGTCTACATGCCTGCTGTCAGCCTATCCCACGCGATATTGTCCTCTATGCCCATTCACAAAGGCCCAGACTCAACAGCACAGGCATCACGGACCCTTCTAGCCTTCCTGCTCCATGGCCTGGAGGTGTACTGATTGCTCCCAGACTCTGTGACCTCCATTACCCTCTTTGAACCCAGGGTAATGCTGCAGGTAGTGAGTAGGTCCATCTTGTTCCTGGTGGACATGGGGGCTACCTTCTCTGTTTTAACCACATGCTCAGGTCCCACCCACGATCCCATCACTAACTTCTGTCATAGGGGTGGATGGAATTCCCTCTCCGAATAAGACCGTGCCACTCCTCTGTGTTCTTGCAGGATGATTTTTCTCACATCCTTTTTCTGGTCATGCCCGTCAGCCTGGTTCCTTTATTCAGCCATAGTTTATCCTCAACCACTTTGAAGCCACCCTCTCCTGGGCACCCATAACCTCTCCTGACTTCCATCTTCTTTCCCTGGTTGCCTCACAGATCCCTACCCCAGACTGCACTGTCCCTACCCTACAGGGTCCAGCTGATCCCCAAATATGGAATATCATCACACTGGTGATTGCTACCCACCACCAGCCTGTCCTCATCCACTTCAAAAACTCTTTATCTTTCCTCTCCAGCACCCAGTTTTCCATCTCTGAAACCCACTGCAGGGGTCTCAAGCCTATCATTACCCACCTTCTGACTTAGGGACTCCTAATTCTTACTAACTCACCTTGCAACACTCATGTTCTCCTAGTGAGTCAGCCTTCCAGTGCCTACTGCTTAATACATAATCTCCACCTTAAATGAGATAGTTATCCCAATCTACCCTGTAGTTACCAACCACACCTTCCTCTCTAACATTCTTTCTACAATCTCCTACTTTCCTTTCCTGGACCTAAAAGATGCTTTCTTTACTGTCTCCCTATACCCTAACTCATATTTCCTCTTTGTCTTCACGTGGAAGGACACTGATACACTGTCTGAGAAACAATTGACATAGACAGTTCTCCCTCAGAGGGGCTTTTGGGACTTTTCAGGGCTTTAACTCCATTTTGATTGAGGGCAGTCACATGACTGGCAGCCATTTTTGTTATGGGAAAGTGATAGCTTCACCACAACTACAATTTTATCCCTCAAAGTTTTGTGTGTCTATTTCAAATATATGACATGGCGTGCTTGTTTCTGACTGGTTTTGAATGGTAAGGAAAAAAATACTGTTTCTTTCTCCTGCCACAAGCTGCCTGGACTCAAAACTTACCTTTGGGCTTTCTAGCCACTCATTTATTCACTAATGTATCAAAACTTTACCTCCCTCTGTTCATGCTAAGCCAATGATGGATGAGTAGAAACAATCAAAGTTTGTATGTTTAAATATACTTTAGGTAAATACGTGTTCTTCAGGCACTTCAGAGAGCTGCTGAATATGGCATTTAAAATGCTTAAACTTAATCATAACAGAGACTCCCAAATCCTAAAAGTGATCTTCCTCCAAGATCTCCAAGAAGATAGGGGCACAACAAGAAAGGACTCCTGGACTGTAGTATAATAACCACTGGGAAAGACTGTGCCGTTGCCTCAGCCCGTGCTAAGGACCTGGCCTAACTGTGGACAAACAACACTGACATGCCTGAAGCTCAGTCTCCCGAGTTCCTCCTCCACAGGAAGGCCTCTCAGGTTTGCTGAGCCTGCCAGCTGAAGATTGTTCCTGCCCTGGGACCTGAGTTCCCAACTAAGCCATTGACATCACAAGAACCTAGTAGGCTGGCTGTCTAGGTAATTGGTAAGTCTGTCATTTTCATTGATACAATGGCCATTTAGATTACAGTATATTCTTCCCAGGTCTCTGAGGGGTTTGAAAACTAGACTAATGAAGGAAGTAACCTTTCACTGTTCCTTTATCTGAAGGAACTCATTTTACAGTGACTGTTCCCCATGATCAACCACCTGTGTCTCATGATGAACAATGAGTGGGACAGGAATGAGTGTAAAGTTTAATGTTTATGTAAGGTCTGAGGACATGAAAGCGTCTTAGAAAATATTTGAAGGTCCAGGAAGATGTTTTGAGGTTGGTAAGCACAAGTTATGAAAGTTAGAGGACATGGAGAAAAAAAAAAACTTGGGTAGTGATAGGAGATTGATTTA